TTTCTGCAAAATGAAATATCATTTTTATCTCATAAAATTACATAGATGTTAAAGTTCACATGCGTGTGCACACACACACATTGCAGTTGCTGCTGCTGCATATTGTTTAAAGAATCAGAATTGGCATCAATGTCATCTAGCTTTTAAAAAAATGAGTTTCAAAACACCTATTCTATTTGGATTTCTGTCCCTAGTTTATTGAATGATAATGAAACAATTATGCCATGATTCCTGCTATATCAAAGCCATTATACCCTTTTGTCTCATTATTATTTAAATGTTAAATACCCCATTATAGAGGTAAATTGGGTTTAAAATAGAATGTTTCAAGCAGAAGAGCAAAAAATATAAGGTTAAACAGAGTGAGGAAGCAAGCTTCAATTTGTGGTATAAAACTTGCCTGGCATGAATTGATCTTTTGATATACTAAGAAAGGCAGAACCTCTGACATGCCCTATAGAGAATAAATATACTGATCTGGAACAAAAATTATGTGAAACAGCTGCTAAGTGACAGAAGAAATGTGCATTGGACCACCAGCCTGTCATAAATATTGCACTCTTAATCAAAAAGCATCTGTCTTTTCATTTCCTTTTCAGCAATCTCTGCATTGTATTTAATCTGCACAGAATGCTTCTCTTAACAGGTGCAACAGTGTTTACAAATTTAAAACCGTATTTAAATGAAGCTTACAACCAGAGATGTTTCAATTAACAGGGCAATATCTTATGAGAAGGAGTCAAATTAACATCTGGCAATACATAGGTTACTTTGCATTTGTGAAATTTAGTTATTAGAAAATGAGACTATAAGTACCCCCCAAAAGGCAACAATGAGTGCCACTTTAAGTAATCTGGGGCATGTATTTGTATCCAGAGAAACCATGGGGAAAAGTTACAGCTAGGAATGTGGATAGCATAAAATATTGGGACAGATATCATATAATGTTGATTTCCATTAAAAAATAAAACTAATAATGTCCCACGTGTCCATAAAATGTGGTCTCTAAGCACCAGTTTAGCTTCTCACAGTTTTTTCCCCATTATCAGAGTTTACTTGTTGAAACTGAATATACAATAATTCCCCTATCCATAGTTTTTCTTTCATCTCATGGCTTAAATTATCTACAATCCACCACAGTCTAGAAATATTTGATCCAAAATTCCAGAAAAAAAACAAAAACGATTTATCAGTTTTTAATTGTGTGCTGTTCTCAGTAACATGATAAAATCCCATACTGTCCTGCTGCTCAATCCTGCCCGGAAAGGAAAATATCCTTTTTTCAAGAATGTCCATACTATATACATTTGTCCCCCAATAGCCATCTCAGTTACCGAGTTCACTGTCATAGTGTCTAAGTGCAAGTATTCAAGTAACCCTTATTTTACTTAATAATTGTCCCAAAATACAAGAGAAGTGATGGTGGCAATTATATTACTGTATATTATTGTGATTATTCAATTATATTATTAATCATTGTTGCTAAATTTATACCTAATTTATTCACCTATGAAGTGAATCATAGGTGTGTATGTGTAGGAAAAAACAGTATATGAAGATTTTAGTACACTATGCCATTTCAGGTATCCACTGGGATCTTGGAATTTCTTCCCCACAGATCACTGTAATAGATCTATAATTCATTTAGAATACATAATTTTAAATTTTGGTGGTAAGAGATACTACTAGGGATTGAACCTAGGGGTACTCTATCACTGAGTTACATCCCCAGTCCCTTTTTGTGTGTGTGTTTTGTTTTTTGATACAGTGTTTTGCTATATTACTAAGAATCTCACTTAGTTACTGGGGCTGACCTAGAAGTTGTGAACCATTTTCCTCAGCCTTCCAAGTCATTGGTATTACTGGTGTGTACCTCTGCACTGAGATGAATACACACAATTTTTAAAGTACAAAGAATTGTAGAAATGTTTATTATAACTTTTACTCAAAATTAGTGCATCAATAATGAGTTCCATTTTTACAGGGTCCAATCAGGTAACATAAGTGGCACAAATCTTGTAAAACATGTGGCCCTGTTGGTTGGTCATTGAATTCCCAATTTTTGATACAAACAGGTATTGAGGAAAATATTCTTTTTAACTACACTCTTGGACAAACAGCATGGCAGATTCTTTGATAAAGACAGGGCAAGCTGGTGAGAAATGCTCTGTCAGTTGATTCTTTCCATGGAGAAATGAAGCCCAAGTTTTCTAGCTATCCAATTCCCAGTGAAGACCAGGGCAAACAATATGTTGGTGTACTGAATCGTACATTGGGCTTCTAACTTGGAAAATTTAGAGCAATTGCTGAAAACAGGAATTCAGTGTTAAACAGATTTGAAGTCAGCTTCTATTTTGGTCTAGTATCTTTGTAACTCTGAATAAGCTACTTGACTTTAAATTTCACTTCATCCACCACATAAAAGGAGTTAATAATAATCACTGAGTTGCAGAGAGCACACAAACATTAAGTGAGAATGTAAGTATAAAATATTCAGCATAGCAAGTATTCAATTAAGTGGTAGACATTATTTTTTGTCTAATTTTGCTTTTCATTAGATACAGATAGAGAACTACAGACCCAGAGTTATAGGTAACTTGCTAAATGATATGCAGAGATTTGAAAATCAGAGTTCCTGATTCCCAGTCTACCAAACTATCTTGCTACATATTATACATTAAAACTATATTTTAAAATGCAAGCAAATTCATAACAGGACTCTAAATTCCTTGCCTGCTTTACTAATTGACAAAGCCTAACTATTTTTTTTGCATCATAGATAAAGCCTTTCAATACTTATAATTCCTCTTAATGGCTGTATACAAATATTTATTATAGGTTAACAAAGAAAGTAAAGGTTAATATCTGTTCTTCAGGAGTTCACACAAAATTATCTCATCATAAGCAATCATATTTTGAAAGGGACAAATCCATTAAATAATACTCCCCACTAAAGCAATATAAGCAAGGTCATTTGTTATACTGCATAGGGAATTCTATTTTAATTACTTTTTCAGAAACAATAATATAATATAAAGTGATCTTGATGATGAGAGCTAGACATTCTGGGTATAATTTGAAAAACAGATTAACTCCTTCAGACCATTAGAACTTTACTGATTCCAAATCTCCCTATTAGCAAGGCAGAACCCTGAGATGATCCTCATCAAATCCTGCCTTTTCAGCCTGAGAAGTGTGTTTTCCTTAACAATGGAAAGCTCCTCCCTTGCACTGATGTGTTTTTAATCTAACTGATGTGATTCTGCAATCTGTATTTGGGGTAAAAATGGGAGATCATAACCCACTTGAATCTAATGTATGAAATATGATATGTCAAGAGCTTTGTAATGTTTTGAACAACCAATAAAAAAACAAAAAATAAATAAATAAATAAATAATAAAATTAAAAAATAAAAAGTTTAGAAATTCTTTTAATTCAACTACTATGTTGAATCTACAATCACACAATAATTGTGATGATAGCTAAGCTTAATAGGACCTTAATGACAATTCAATGTTAACTAAACCCTTTACATCCAACATCTCATTTCATGGTTACTATATCTCTATAAAGTAGATTCCATAAAAATTCCAAAATATCTCATTTACAAAAACAATTCTAGAAGATTCTCAGTAACTTGCCTGTTAAGTCCAGAGTCAGGACATTACCAACATCTTACTAGATGAACCACTTCTAAATTATTGACCTAAAACCCAAACAAAGTGAATCAGACACATTGAAAAAAGTAATTATTCAGCTTGCTAACATGTAAGGAGCTGGATGGACTGTGATGCAGGGAATAAAAAATATTAAAAGATAGCAAGCAAAAAAATTAAAAATGGGTAAATTTCTTAATACATTGACTTCTTTTTAATGCATATATTTGTTTGCATGAAAGAAACCTGTGCCGATGTATCTCATCTTTAAAGAATGGCATATGAAAGTCCTAACTTTCAAAAAATAGAGAAATCATAATAATTACATTTTATTACCCAGGCATTCAGTTTTTCACAACAGGATTTACCCAGGGTTTGTCCCCTAACAAATTTAAATTGTTGCTCTTGATCATTAGTTATTTACAGGGAAACTCATGAAAAGTAGGATGATTGCAGAGACATAAGAATAGGTCTTGCTAACAACTGTTAGAAATAAGATTTTTGCACAACTGAAGTTGAGCCTATATAAATATAATTTAAACATTCTTTTTCAGAAATATTTGTATCTGAAAATAAAATAGACTTTATTTCCTAGTCATTGTTTGTTAATGTAATAATAACCTGAATCAGGCCATTCAAGAAGCTTTCAAAGAATTCCCACTAATGCATTCAAAAAAATGTAAAATAAAGTTAAATTCCCAAAAGATTCACATTTAAACAAACAAACAAAAAAACAGTTTAGTGTAACATTATTCTGAGAAAGCTTAAAAGGATTGAGTTCAACTAGATAGATCAGCACAGACTTAATTAATGTGAATCTTGCTTTTCTGATATTCTTTTTATTCTAATATTCTTTTTCCCAATATCGTCAATATTGGGAAAAAGCCTTCCTTCATAAAAAAGTCGTATCTTTTTAGGCAGGCAAGTTATCGACAAACTTTGGGTAGCTAATCCACAAGACTCACATTAACACAGAGCACATGAAATGCATTTTCCCTTGGGCAAGGAGAGGAGAATCTATTGCCTATGTCATCTGTTTCTGTGAATACCGAAGATTACAATTATGTTTTGATGTTAATCCAACTACTGCAAATTTCTTGTTGTGAAGCACACTGTGAAAATGTGAGTGACAGTATAAATCTTTTTAAATTGAATTCAACACTATTGAAAAGAGCTGATGTTTTCAAATACTATTACAAAGCCTCAGAACAACAAGAATAACACTCTAAATGAAGCCAGTTTCTATAGTGACCTATTTGGTATGAAAGACGAATAGCTATGATAAAATCAAATTCTGCACATCTGCTATATTGTGTGTGTTTTGCATTTTTAGGAACAATCACCTCTAATGCTTTGATGTCCTCATAAGCAAACTGCACGGTGGGAACTCCAAGATGGTTGATGAAATAATCGGCATCACCTTGTATCTGTACAGAGCTTACATTGGTTTCTGGACACTGAGCTCTTCTGGTACAGTTGAACTTATTTTTCTGAAAAACATAATTTAAATTGTTAACACTTACTGTGCTTTCCAGGTCATCTTTAAGTCAGTGCTACTAAAATGTGGTCCATGTATTAATATCGTCAATATTAATCAGGAGTATGTTCAACATGCAAATGCTTAAGCTCCACCTCCTACCTAATAGGGTTGGAATGGGAATCTGTGTTGAAATAACTTCCTATGATTCTGATGCTCACTGAAGCATGAATGGCATTGTCTGGTATCAAGATTTGCTTGTTGATATTGCTTCCAAAGTATTTTTTGTTACAGTTTTATTATGGCTGCAATGACTTCAACTTGAAAAAGTTGAAAAGGATCCTATCCTTCTTAAAATGTTAACCAAAAATTACAGAAGAAATTTTCTCCATTTCTTCTTAAAAATATTTTCTCAGATGTTTTTAGATTATCTGTCAATAACTACAATCAGTCGTAGAGAGCCAGCCACAGAGCTAAGCAAAACTCTGAGGGAAATAAAAGATGATAGACTATTATTTCTCAAAGTTAGAATTGTCTATCTTGTACTACAAGTGGTAGAAACTTTAAACACAAAATTTTAAAAATCAAAAAGAAATGAAGAGTTTTTGTAAGAAGTATTGATTAAAAATGTCTGCTTTAATTAAGTTTCCAAAGATGTAGAACCTTTCTGAGATTAGTTGTCTCAAAGATGCAATGTGGAAGAATAGCAATCTCCCAGGAAGCTACTGTTGAGGAAATTTGCCAATAAGAATAAGAACATCTCACATTTAATACCAGGCATAACGTATGTGCTCATTACATTTGCCATTAAATCAAGATATTGACTCTTCAACCTCTTGTGCTTCTTTGGTATAATATAATTTCAAAAATACTTTCAAATATAATGTATCAAAAAACTTAAAAAACATGCAGTTTAACCTTAAGAAAATGAGTTATTCCAACTTTTTTTTTCCATACTAGTGCTGGGTATTTTAAACATATAATGGTTCAATACTTATTCAATTTTCTTTAAGGCCATGATAGAAAGATCTTTGCAACAAAGGTAAAATCAATTAAAATAGTAAGGCAGCATGAGTGTTTGTATATATGCAAGGTTTTAGCTTAATGTTATTTCCAAACATATAGGGTAATTAAGCAGTTTGGAAATACAATGTTTTGCCATACATTCTGATGTAGCAGCCTAATGCTTTTTTATGATGGATGACTCCACTAATTGGCTTTTTTTCAGAGCCTAATTTTCTGAAATGGTAGTGTATCAGTCAGCTTTTGATTGCTATGACCAAAACACCACACAAGAAAACATTAGAAGAATAAAAGTTCATTCTGGATTGATGATTTCAGAGGTTCAGTCCATAGTCTGAGGACTCCATTGTTACAGGCCTGAGATGAGGCAGAACATCATGGTGGGAGGGCCTAGTGGAGGAGAGCTGCTGATATCATGGCAGCCAGGATTCAGAAAGCAAGTAAGGAGCCAGGGGCAAAATACACCTCCCAAGGGCATCCCCTGCCCTGTGACTACTTCCTTTAATCATGCCCCACCTGCCATAGCTACCACCCAGTAATCCATTCAAGTTATTAATCCATCACATAGATTAATCAACTGATTAGGTTGCAGCTCCTCTGATCTAATGATTTCACCTCTGAACATCCTGAACCTTTCAGCATTAACTTTTTCAAGGGAACATGTCCTATTCAAACCATAACAGAAAGTTAATATACTTTAACTCCTTGATTTATTCTGGATAGTTTTAGACTCCTGGAGATTTTATAACAACCAGGACAGTTTAAGAAGGATTTTGAATATGCTCAAAGAAGATACACTCTTAAGTAATAGATCATGAAATGCAAATAAATTACTTAATATCATATAAAAAATACTAAGTATTATTTAGAGATCTAGGTGTTGAAAAACAGCACCTTCTGAAGGTATTCATTTAGCAAGAATAGATTCTTTTTCCCATAGTTGCATTTGAAAATCTTGGGCAGGCAAGATATTCACCATTGCCCAATTACCAGTCTCATTTTCACCTTGCTCCACTCATTTGAATATACTTCAAGGTGGTCAGGGACATCTGAATTTGTGAAAAATAAAGTGTTGAACAATTTTATGTCATGATTAAAATTTTTTAGAATCTGGCATTTACTTTTGCTAAATGCCTACCCAATAAAATTAAAAATCATTATTTAAGTAGTTTACATTCTCTCTACCGTAAGGACATCTATGTCTTTTTAAGATAGTATATGCACTGTACTCAATATCAATTAAAATACAAATTTGGCTTTTATTTCATTTTGCATACACAACTCTCAAGATCCAATTCAACTCTTAGCTGCATTCATTCCTTACATAGAATTTTTATTTCTTAACAGAAGAGTGACACAAACTAAAAATTGATAATTTTGAGTTCTAGTATTTGTGTCTACTAAATTATTAATTAAAAAACCCAAATATGATATTTAAGTAAAATGTTCTGCATTATTTTTACTCAATCATCATTGTTTTATGTTAGTTGCTCTCTGGAAAAAAAACAGTGTTAGCCTCTCATATAAGCAAGTTCCTGAATTATACAAATGAACCCATTCCAATCCATCTTTGTTTGTTCTAACAACTAGATTGATACAGTTCTGGTTTATCTTCAGTGTTGTTTTAGCCCAGGATATTCTTTTTGAAGACTTTACTGATCCTCTTCTAGTCTTTTTGTTCTTGCCCTGGCTACTTACATTGTATAACTTTGATATTTCCATCACATTCCATTTCCATGGTTTCTTCCAGTTACAGCCTTATTTGCACTTTGTATTTTTCAGGCACATCAAGAAGGCCATCTCAAACTTTCAGGATTACCTTCATGAATTCTGTCCCTGCATTCTCTTCCACACTCTGGTTTGCTCTATTTTACCCATCTGTTGAAACTTCTGTCTTGTCACCTTTGTCATATATAAACTCCTAATGAAGATGTTGACAGAGACAGTGTCATCTTTTGTCAAAATTCTATGTTGAAGTTTTAGATCTGCCAAACTACATGTATGGTGCTAAATATGGAATATTTATGGGGGATATAGTACAATGTAAGAGGGTTGGGTTGCCCAAGGGATAGCTGGGGCCTAGAGCTTGGAGCCCTCCTGTCAAAAACCAACTGAGAATGGGGTGAAGGTGGGAGTTCATAACCCACTTGAATGAAAGTGTGGAATATGATATGTCAAGAAATTTGTAATGTTTTGAACAACCCACAATAAAAAATTAAAAAAAAAAAACCAACTGAGAGTAAAATCTTTAAGACTGGGGACTTCAGGAACAACATGGTATTCTAAATTGTGTCTCTGGGGCCTACTGCTGATTTGGTAAACACAGGGTTTCCCTGAAGTTCCTGAAGAGAACTTTCCTCACTAACCCACAACATTTTTCCTCTTTCTTTCTCAATTCTTGTCCCTTTCTCTCTCCTTCTTTCTTTTCTCTTTATCTTGCTGCTTCCTTCTCCTTCTCTCTCTCTTCACCTCTTTCTCTACTTCTTACTTTCCTGATTAATCCAATATGAGGGAATAAAGCATGTGCTGTGGATCTAGAATGTCCCCTAAAGTTTCACGTACCGAAGATTTACTCCCAGGCAGGAGGCACTATTGAGAGGTGGTTGAAACTTTAGGAGATGGAGCCCAGTTAGAGGAAGCAGCTCACTGGGGGAAGGCTTTGGAAGGGTGTATCTTGTCCCTGGACCTCTCTTTCTCTCCCTGTATCTTTTTCTGTCTCGGCTTCCCAGACACCATGAGGTAAGCAGCTCTTTTCTGCCACATGCTCCGCACAATGATGATCTGCCTTATCACAGACCCATAGTTTTGAGGCCAAGTGAACATGGACTAAAACCCCTGAAACCGCGAGCCAGAGCAAATCTTTCCTCAGCTATTTTGTCACAATGATGGACTAACAAAGTATTACCCTGAAACCTGTATTCATTTTGTTTTTGTATTCTTGTTCCTAACTTCAGAGAAAACTAGATAAAAAGGTATTTAAATTTGCAAGGTAGAAGCCCACCCAAAGTTATTTTATGTAGGGATATCCTATTAGAGAACATTCCTGTTCTCTTACGGTTCTAAATACTCATTGTTCATTATTTTATTCTCTAAATATTCTCTAAATACTCATTATTCATTACTTTAAAATCTATGCCAGACTCACAGATCTGAGGTGATCCTATATCTATATTTGATTCTAATATGAATCATCTTTGCACACAGAACTTCAGTGGATTATGATTAATCATACCAAATAATGGACGCTGATCTCCTCAACCCCCATAAGCACTAATATCTGTGAGGGAAGTAGAAAGAAATCCTAATTTTCTTCATATTACTAGAAGATAAGCACTGTGGGAGAGGGAAGGTTTGTAACAAATTTGTGCAGGTCAATTAACTTTTTAAATTTATTTACAAGGCTGAGTAAATTCATATTAAGTATTTCATCTAAGGAGTTCAAACTGCTCCATATTTAACATTTGATAACAAGCATTTTTATTCCAGTTCATAAAATAAGCAAGTTCAAGCAAAGACCAGGGTTGTCACTTGTTTAATTTCCCACCACAAGTCTGTTAAAGACCTGAAATGAAATCACCATCTTGATGCTAAGGCTGCATGCTCTTTGCAAGCATACTTTTAATCTGCAAGGCAATACCTCATAGTAAATGATCATAAAAAAACAAAATAAAGAAATTAAATCAACATTTACATTAGTTGGATAGTGATGCCAAGACACAATGACAAGTTTCTAAAGTATTTAATAATCTGTTTAATAATTTAAATGTCTCATTTCTCCCACACTCTGCTTTTCCCTGCAAACATAAACATTCATTCCGCAGGCATAGGAAATCTAAGTTGATTACTTATTCAAACAGCAAAAAAAAAAAGTATGACATTCAAAATAAAACAACTACACTCCACACATTAGAATAAAATTAAATCACTTTCTTTTCCTTTCAGTATTATTCTTATGACTTCAATCGTCTAGAAAAGAACTTATTTCACTAG